AGTCTAATCAATCAAGTGAAACAGAACAAAGTGGTCTTTACATAAATAGGAAGTTAATTCTGGTATCCTACAAAGAGAAAGAGTAGAATGCAGAAAATAGGAAAGAAATATTGAAGTATGCAGACAAGATAATCCCAGTAGTATATTAATTTTTATTGAAATGATGGTATGGAAAAATGTATCTTAGCAAAGCAATATTCCTGTTGCAGAATATTAGTCTTACACAGAGTTACATAAATGTATATAGGTTTTATCAAATGCATAAAAGGGCAGGTCAAAACAAACTGTGGAATTGAGAAAAGTATGAAACTATTGTGATGTTCCCAAGGACCAAATACAGAGCTGCTGTGAGAAGGCGCAACTTCATTTAGTCCCGTGTGTGCAGTTCAATGTTCTGTTGCTGGAAAAAAGAGCCTTGTGTATAATCTTTGTTTGGACTCATAGCAAATGTTAACATTTTAACACCGCTGACTCAAGGGTTCCAGACAAGGGCAGTATTTCATGTCTGTTCAGTGTTCATATTAAGTGAAGCACAAACGGCCCGGGGTTTGTGCTACCTCATTTTCTGTACAACAATTCTGAAATTTCTGAGACAAAACAAGATTTAGTTTACTTCTGGATTTCCCAATAGTCAACATGACTGGCTGAATAAAGAGCGTGAATTATTCTTGCAATTAGGCTCTGACTCTGAGGCGAATAATAATAGTTGTTAAAGTGCATTAAATATGACCTGCAGGTGTTTGATCTGGTGCTCTAATCCTCTCAGCTGTTCTAAACTAAACAAAGGTGGGTGGATCAATAGTGAGATGGTTTTGCTCCAAGGGAAGAACAGCACGTGCAAGTCAGGAGGTACAACATTGCCTTTTGTATCATTGCTAAATAGATGTCCCTGCACAGTGCACTGCAGTGATCGTCTTAAATGGAGAGCTCCATGTGTTTGGGACCTCTAAGGTCCTACACCATTATGATGTCACTGATGGGATGCCACTTCTCTCTATACTCCATGGGCCTTTCCTTGTGCTCATCCCCGTCCTACAATGGCTTGATACTAGTGAAATAAAAGAAAGATGCCCTATACTTTTCCTTGACTCATTGGTGTAGCCTGTTCTTGGTTGCACATCCTTTGTACTCACTTGCAACTGATAGGAAGTCACCAGGCTATAGCACCTGCAGAAACCCCAGGTGGAGAGGACAGCAAGTTGGGCCCCTGGATCTGAATGCACAGAGGGGCAAGCCTAAAAGCAGTGTGCTAGTGGAGCAGATCTTTTGGGGGTGTAAGGTGGATATATGTATATGGCACTGTGGGGGGAAAAGAAACCCCAAAACCCAACACAAAAAACAATTTGCCCTGTTATCCTGTTCTAGTTCACGTCATCGTATGGTACCTACTTTCACCCTGCCATCTATAAAAAGGATTTGGTGCCCCTTAATTTCTGGTCTAAATTTACCTGTGTCTATTGACATGAACTGATGAACAGCTGCTGCATTTCACTGGCGTGTGAATGAAATAATCTATTTCCCTGCCTCTCCCAGCAATGCATTTTAGAACTTACAAAGGTAATAGTGTCCGCAGAGCACTTTGAAAGCCTTGCACAAAAGGCATGACAACTATGCAAAGAACTACTGTCAATATTAGTGAATCACTTCAGCCACAAAGGGAAAGCAGGTTTCCCTTTTAGAACAACAAACAAACCACAGCAGTATTTACTGAGCACTTTAAAGATAACAGCAGCTACATAAATACTAAGAATTATTAAGGTTTCTTTGTGAAAAGGTTAATTGCATGGTGAGAAACGATATTGCAACTTCCAAGGCCATCTACAGGCAGAATAAGCACCTTTTGGTTACAGGGAACCCAAAACTAAAACCAGGCCTCTCTCCAAAGGCTCCGAGATGAAACAGATGCTCCCAACGGGAAGGCTTCCATGCCTAAAAATCCCATGTTGGCTGAAGTATCTTTGCTGAAGCTAGATTGAACTTCAGCCTGAACGGAGCAGAGAAAGACTTCACTGCCAGTTCTCCACCACGGAGCCCCACACAGGCAGCCTGTGTGCCGTATCAGCCAGCACTAGTGAGATCAAAGAGGGAGCTACGAGCCTCTCCTTTCAATATGTGCTAGCCCCACATTTCAAATTTTGTTTAGAAATGAGAAAAGCCAGTTATAGCCCAATATCGCTCAAAAAAAGAGGACCTGGTAACTGCATCCTCTCAGAAGGTGGTCAGCAGATGCTCTGTGTGGGACGCAGCATCCCAGGTGTTCTTTGCTTGTTGCACAAGCGTCCTGGCTGTGGTGGCCAGGCACAGAGGCAGCTGGACACACAGCTTGGAAAGTCCTACTCAAAATGGTGGGGAGCAGTCAAGCATCTTCCCATGGACAGGCAAAGTTCAAGAAGCAGATCTTTGCTGAGTAGCTGCCCTCTTTGGGGTGAGACCACTCTCACAAGAAAACACACCTACCAGAAAAGAGAGGCCACCTGCAGATACTGGCCACCTGCATGTTGTCTCATCTTGCTTACTTCAGCTGTCACAGGACCACCGTTGGCTTGCCCTGTCCTCTCTCCTGTGCTCTGCTGTCAGGAAAAAATAGGAGATCCTCACCAACAGTGGATGCTTCCACATTTTTCAGGAAGGCTGCTTGATCATTACAGCCTGTCTGATGTTAAGTGTATTTATTGCTCATCCAGGATGACTACTGAAGGCCATCTAATGATTATCCTCCTCCTTTACAACTGGGAAAGGACTTTTCATCGTAAGAATGTGGCTGTTCCTAGCTGTTGATCCAAAGAAACTTTAGGGAGAAAGATGAATATTGAGGCCAGGCTGCCTAGAGTCCCTCTAACATTCTCCAAAACAATATGTTCATCTTCAACCCACTGGGGGCTCCAAATAAACCTATCCTCTCCAGTGCTGCTTGTTGAAGAAGTTAGAGTCCAGTCCCATGACATGCTGTGCAACTTAAGTTCCCAATAAGGCTCTTGAGATTTCTGCATGTTCAGTATTTTTCAGTCTTTTGCAGAACTTAACCCTGGATACAATCATCTTCTAAGCATCTTGCATAATTCTTTGGTTCTGTACCAGTTTGTCTGCAAGTTTCTGTTAGGCACAACATTATTTTAATTTAAAAACAGAGCAGCAGGAATTACCTAAACAAATAGATTTTTCTGGTGTCGTCTTATATTGTTGGGAAACTTAAAGCTTTCCTTTCTAATACTGAATAGAAATTGAAAAGCAATTCCAGCTCACAAGCAAAGGTATGCCTACTTCTGTTCTCTTCACCAGAACCCTGACTTCTTACCTAACTTATTCATAAAAAGAATAACTTCATGATTTGGTAATATATATGGCTAATTTGCACTAAGTAAACTACATTCATTTGTGCTAGCTCACTAAAAGATTTTACCTCACTGAAGCAAAAGTGCAACAATTCAGTTGAATCCTAAGCAGACGTTTTTTAAGTGTGCAACATTTTGTTTCATTACAATCTTCTCTGTCCTCAACTTTTTACGCAATTTTTCAGTAATTTGACAAGGTTTGAAGGCAGGTGACATGCCTGGATTTATACACTGAACTAATGCTACAGCTCAACTCACTATAAAATGATCTCTAATGTTTTTGTGGCTAACAGGACTTAGTATATACTGTTTATACAGCAAAAATGACTGGGTTTTAATGGGGCATCTTCCAGCAACATGGTTAAAACATAGCTCTTCACAAACCATCTACAATTTGCACTGCCTTCCCTGCGCAGGCACTAGTAGCGTGTCTAAGCATCTCAACTACAACAAAGGCCAAACATTGCTGTTGAGCATTCATTTTCCATGCCTGCATTAATTAGTGTGCCTGTCTGAGTGTGGCTACGTGTAACCCTCTCACCAGCTGTTGAAACACCTGGACACTGTGCACTTCTCCCTTAACTTGCGTCACGGACCCGGGGGAGAGGTGCATTGCATAGTAGCTGTGGGTACTAAACCATAGTGTCACATATATGCCTGTGCAGAACATACGTATACCACTTGTACAGCATCTGCGCTGTTGCGCCCAACAGCTAAATTTCTGATGTACTTGCGCCAGTGAATGATATGCCCTGGTTGGTTTGCTCAGTAACCGGTCCTCCCCTACCCACAAAAATGCAGGTATGTAGACTGTAGGGTTGGGGATGGATCCCCATAGCGCTGTGTATGCACTGCAAAATGCTACCAACTGCTCCGCTGTGTTTCTGTTGCTGGACAGATTGACAGACGAAGATGCTACAACTGAGGAGGACATCTCCTTGCTTATTGTTTGGTCAGTAGCTTTTGGCATAATTTTTAATGCTCTGGATCATTTTTATGGAGCTTCATGTAGTAGCCAAAATGTTACCAAAGCCCTGGGCTGGCAGGAGATATTTCCTGTTGGGATGTCGCAGGTGGGATTTCACCTCTAGCCCCACGCGGCACTTGGAGGTAGAGAGGAATGGTCTGAGCTAGCTCTTCCAGTGAAGGGAGGCCAGCAGCACCATGGGGCTGCTCCAGGACCAACTGCATCCAAACAGCTGTGGGATCTGGGCATCCTTTGGCACAAGGGCTGACTGCTCCTGACCCACATGGGTGCCCTGAGGCACCTGTTAGAGGTGTGTGGCCATGCCAGTACGGGGACACGTGTCTGAAACGGCGGGAGCACTCGTGCGTGCGGGGATGCATACACTGCAGGCGCAGAGGAGCAAACATCGGTGCTGGGACCGGTGGGATCCTGGAGTACAGGCAGGGCTGCAGTGCAAATGCAGCTCCCAGGCCAAACCCTGCTCTCGTCACAGTCCTTCTGCGTTCAGCGATGCCAGGTGGAGGCCCTAGCCTGTGGCAACCCCTTGGCAAGGGCCTCGTGCATTCAGGGAGCGTGTACTGGAGAGGCTAATCAGTTCTGCAGACTGTTCCAACAAGCCCTTCTCGGGCAACCTAGGTTTACTGTCATGCTACTGTGGTCAGGGCACACCTCTATCAAACCGCATTTGCTACAGGGCTGCATTAGCTTTTCCGTTGCTTTTCCTTCGTACGGAGGAGTCGGAGGATGCGTTCATTTTTTGTTAGTTCTGCTGGCAGTTCGTTTGCCTGGAATAAAAAACCTTCAGGTTAGCAAAAATAAAAGAGTATTTCCAAGCCATGGTTTAAATCATCTAAAGAAGATGCTACTGAGCATTATAATGATGTGGTTATTCCAGTGTTGTCTCCACCACTGTTGAAGATATCTTAAGAAGTCACCTTTCCACACAGTGTGCAAATCTCACTTAAGTCTTCCAAATAATCCTAGCATGGGATTTGAGTGGTCAGGTCATTTTGTGCTGACTATCCAAGCTAAACGGTATCCCTTGGGCTCCCTATGCTACTACCATAAAATTAAAAGAGAACATAGCTGCTGATTTTCTGGAGGACATGAGGCAGGTCTTTAAGTACCAAAGTCCATAAAAATCCAAGGAAAGACTTTCATTGCTATGAAATAGTCAATGCTATTCTGTAGGATTGGTAATAGAACATCAGCATTTGGTATTCTGCATTTATTGAATACAATAGTAGGGCCTGTTGCGACAGGAGAAAGGGTTATGGCTTTAAACTCAAAGAGAGAAGATTTAGACTAGATATAAGGAAGTAATTTTTTACAATGAGGGTGGTGAAACACTGGCACAGGTTGCCCAGGGAGGTGGTAGATGCCCCATGCCTGGAAACATTCAAGGTCAGGTTGGACGAAGCTCTGAGCAACCTGATCTAGTTGAAGATGTCCCTGCTCATTGCAGGGGGGTTGGACTAGATGACCTGTAAAGGTCCCTTCCAACCCAAAATATTCTATGATTCTATGAATTTTGGTAACATAAAGTATTTATAATGAAGCTACTTGTGAAAATCAGTAATTCTGTCCTGTAAATGTACTCTGTTGTGCCAAATCACATATTGTTTAAAAAAAAAATCAGTAGGAGAGGTTACAGCCACAAACTTTCTTATACTGCACACTCTTCTGCTGCAAATCACCATCAGTAGCAGAAAAATCTTGCATATTGTTTAGATGAAAGTAGCAAAACAAAACGCCACACAAACTACAGTATGAGCATTAACTCTGCTGCCATCAAGTGGAATGATACAGAAATAACAGGCACAGATTTTACAGTAAATGACCAAAACATTTAGAAGGTATATGCTGGATTACTTGTGTTACAAAATTTCATCCACCTAATCATAAACCAGAAGTAAATACAAGACCACTCATTCATAGCTTAACAAACCCAGCTTGGTATCAAATACTAGTGGGAAACAGTTCATAAACACAACTCTGAGGAAGACACTTCCATGGAAATTATCAAATATGTAATGTTAAAACACTTTAGAGAATGAAAACAAAACAAGTTTTCGGCAGAAAACCTGCTGCCATAAAATTAATACGAAACTATTTCAATAAACTAACATATTATTGTAAGATACGGGAAAGACACATGTAATTTGAGATATTTTTTGGCATTAGCAATGTGGTGAATCCTCAAAGGCACCAGATATGTATTTCTCTTGCTGCTGAAATATCTTCCTTGCATATTTCTCACCTGAGACATAAATATAACTTATGACTTATCAAAACGAGTAATGGACTACTATTTCCCTAAAATGCAACCTAGCTAGCCCATGACTAGCTATAGTTAATAATTTAACCTGTGGTGCTTAAGTGAGTGCATGGTTTGGTTAGTCTCAGATTGATGTAACTTCACAACTACCAGCACCACCAGTGGTACTGCCTAACACCCTTATAGATGCTTGTATACAGAAACGAATGGACTGAACAGTGGTGCTTCTGGAGAGGATCAAGTGGCAACCATGGACCAACGCAGAAACATGGACTGCCACGACACATGTGGCACGCACGTCTCCACCACTTGGTGCTCCCTACCTGCCCCTCATCCGGCACGGCATGCCAGGACGTACCTTGTTCCTCAGGCACGGGTCTGCTCCTGCTTCAAGGAGCAGCGCTACTGTCCTTACGTTGCCGCTCAGGACGGCCGCGTGGAGAGCAGAGGTTCCATTCTAGAAAATACGAATGGAGATGTTTGTACTGTGCATGGGAAGAAATCAAAAGGCAATGAAACTCAAATGTTTGCAAAGAACAAGCCTACGAACAAGAAAGAAATAACACGGAAGAGGTTGGGTTATCAAAGGTATAGGGTTTGATTTAGACAGGGTGCTGGCAGGCTAGTGGGCTATGAAGGAGGTGATTTTAAATGCTTTAATAAAAATGAGAGTCAAGTTCACTTTACCACAACAATATTTCCTTTTAAAAATTAGCCTTGTCAATAGATTAGAGGTGGAATGAACACAGCACATGCTTCTGCCTGGCAAAATCAGCCATTAGCAAGTGAAATAGAATCATAAGCAGTAATGGAAACCATCTGTGCATTTTATCTTCTTTCTCTGATGATTAATGATCTCAATGTCAGACAGCTGAGTGGTGATTTTTTTATGGCTGGCCTTTTGTTTGTGGCTGCAAACTGACAGTTCATATAAGTGTGGAAGCTATTTCATACTTGTAATTAACAACTAAGTTAATGCCACCTGGATTTTCAAGTACATCAAAATGGCCAGTTAGTTGCATGCACAGAGGCTATCAAAGTATATGATTTATAGGCATGTAAAATTAAATCAGCTATTGAAAAGCATCTTCCAAGTATCTGTTATTTTTCAAATCACTTTCTGAATTAAGAGGAAAACAAAATCAAGTAGAGAATCTGCTCGCAACAGATCTCTTAGCATACCATTTTGCTGACTAAATGCTATAGAGGGCATGGTATAATCCTAAAAATGGCACCATCGAGAGCAATCCGCTTACTGTAGCAATAAAATCAGATGACAAAAAGCAGGAGAATTCCTTCTATGACACAATCTGCTTCCTCATTCCAAAAATAAAATTCACAGTTTCATTTGAGAAGACTAATTTTTGTGTGGCATTAAAGGCTAAATAAGATAATTTCATTTTTCTCTTTACTTTTTTGGGCTCAAGCTTGTTATTGACTTCCACTGGCATAGTCATAAACGTCAGATCTTTCATCAGACCCTTTGCTTTCTTGAGTTTCTGCCTAAAAATTGTGTGTTTCACTACTAACCTTCAGCAGGCCCAGCGTGGGAGAGAATTTCAGCAGCTCTTCTATCACATTGTTGTACCCTTTAATGGCAGCCTTCAGTAAAGCAGTTGTACCGTCCTTTGAAACAGAGAGGAAGGTCAGTTCAGTTGTTACCACTGCTTTACCTGCGTTCCCCTCAGCTGGAGGGAAACACCAGCTCTCCCCCACACCTCTGAGAGGAGGGTCTTCTCTGCACATCGTCTTTGAGGAGACACCTCCACATACGCTGCCGGTTTTAGGGCATCTGAAGGATTTTTCCTTTGGCAGGTGAAAACTTCAGGGTAAAGCAAACCCGTGACACCATTTATCATCTTTGTCTCTCATTTATATGGACATTTCCATTCCCTTATTCCAGAAGGTCCCCCCAGAAGGCTGTCCCAGACACAATGGGAAAATGGGAGTCCACAGTGGGGCTTTACAGCCTGGAATCTTGGGACACTGGGCCTCCATTCAGGCAGCCTTGCAGCCTCAAAAAAACCCTAGGAGGTGTTAAGCTACAGACAGAGCACAGGAAGAAGTGCTACTTACGTCCCGTGCGGCATCTCGCTCGGCTCCCCGCAGCAGCATTACTCGCACCACTTCGCTGTGACCCATCTGTGATGCAATCCACAAGGGAGCTGTCCCATCCTGCAAACAAAATAAGACTGCTAAAGGTTTCACTTCCAGATTCTGTGCTCCCTGGTATTTTACCACCCAAGTCTGCCTACTGGAATGGACATACTTCAATTTCTTGTTCAAGTCTTGCATCACAGATAGACATATGCAGAGTCACTTCCAAATGCACATGGGAGCTTGGTGTATCAAGCCTGAAGTGTTCCAGTTGTGGAGCAGAGCCACCCTTAGCTGCTTTCTCTTGCATCGTTGGCCTGAAATGTGCTTTGCTGTGAGAACAGTTAAAGCCCTCTCTGGCTTACCAGTCGTGTCTAAAATACATAGGGAAGTTTGAAATGTAAAGGCCAAAGGTATCCCGTGTACTTTGAACTGTAGGTGGCTAGATGTGACAGAAGATACAGGTAAATCTCAGCACGCATGGACAGATTCCGCAGCTGGGTCTCTGTACATGTGGAGTGGAATTTGTTTAGAGAAGCTAAGGAGCAATGCAAGATGATCGCCAGCTTTCAATGTTAAGTTACATTATCCACCCTCAGGGAATCTGGTAAAAACATCTTGCCTTACAGTGATGGTAAGTATTTCACAAATCTTATCTTCAAGAATTCAGCTAGAAAACAAGGCAATTATCAAGGAATCCAGCGTGAAACAATCTGATTCGGAAAAATTGTCCTGTCCAATCATTGTTTGAGCAGAAAACCTCAGAAAACAAAATGCACATTCAATATAATCTAAACTTTGTGATGGATTTCCATCCCAAAGGCAAAGGTGAGTTGAAGCACATAAAGTATTTCTCACTGCAATTAAAAAGTAGTTTTGTGTCTTTTCCTCCTTTTGCTTCTAAATGGCCTGATTCTCGAGACTACAGGAGGACTCCAGCAGTTATGTGGTGCCAAACTGATTCTCGTGGGCCTTTCATAAAAGGCTTTGCCTCTATGGACTTTAAGATAAAAGTGAGCCCTTCCACAGCAGGGTGCCTGCTGCTGCCTTCAGTGCTTGCCAGTTCCCCTTTCCACCCTCAGCAGCCTGAAGATTTGGCAGGAAAAAGGAAGGCAAAATATACTGGGGCTTCCAAAAGAGCCTTAATGAGAAGTTCCAGAAGAAAACTTTTTACTTTAAATACGATGTTTCCACCTTGATCAAAGAAGCAATCCCTCTCCTCAGTGCCAACTGAGAAGATTCATATGACTTTCTCATGCAATCCAAAAAAAACTATTGTTGAACCAGTTCTCTGCTTTCTATGGGCTAGTGACTTAATCCATTGGAAGAAATAGAAAAGTTATTTCTTCCTTTGATGTAATATTCTGGGCTTCCCCTTTTCTGATTCTGAGGAAGAACAAACACACATCCTGACATCTTCCGTCTTCTCAAATGGTGAGGAACAGGATCTTTACCCACTTTTGTATCATTTCTCCATAAATTAACTAATTGAAATTAGTGACTGACCTCATTCTAGTATATATCCTGTTAATACAATGAGTGTTCTTTGTGATTCCAAAATAACAAAGGCTCTCTTCTATACAGCATATATAATGTTAGCGTAATGGCAAAAACTGTCCCTCTCCAATTTCTAGTGTTTTCCCTAGCAGTAAGCTGACACTTCATATTTTTTCTAATCTCCTCCCACCAGAGGGCTCTAGAAAATAGCAATAGGGGCACTGAAAAAGCCTGTAAAACTTGGAAAATATCTGAGAGCAGCCTATGCAATTTAATCTGCATGAAGAACCAATGCTATGCAAATCCACACTTCTATTTACACAAGAAATGCAAGGACAAGCACAGCACTGGGAACACAGCAGCTTTCTTTTGCTCACAGTGAAGTTTGTAAGAACAACTCTTATTTTCAGGTATAAATGCGAAGGAGCAGAAGGAAATACAACTGTTAGGTAACATCACTCTTACCATTAACTGTCCTTAATAATATTGCTGTTAGACTCAGTATCTCAGTTATAGGCTAGAGGCAAAAATACATTGTGAGAAAGAGTGACTGACTTGGAGGACTTAGCCTGAAGAGAAGAAAGATGAAGAAGTTGATGGTGGGCTCACATTGACTATTGTCAGCCTCTCTCTCTTAAGCAAACAGCATCTAACATGCAGGTTTATGCATACACATACAATATTTATATGGAGTAGATGAGATTTCTGTCCATTTTCATGTTGGTGTATGGTGCAAAAGAGATATTACATTGTACTAAGAGGCCACATAAGAATTCCTGTATAAAAAGATATTAAGGCTTGGAGACGAGTCAGGAAGAAAGGGAGAACAGGGAAAGATGCAGTTCAAAAACTACTTTCCCTGTCCCTCTGCCCACCCAGCAGCCTGCAGACCATTATGTTCCTAGAACAATGTTAAATATGCCATATGTTTTTAAGCTCTGCTAATTTTTTATTTGATTACAAGCTAGTATATAAGGACTACATCTCGTTTTAGGCCACAGCCAGCAGTTTCAAACATACTCTGACCAAAATTTCTGATGCTCTTTCTCTTACCCATTAACTAATGACTTTTGCTTTGCCGCTTTGAACCTCGACATTTGCTTGTGGCTTGGAGTTTTAGAAAGGGCCAGGTTAGGGTGGGAGGTGAAATACCCCTCAAATTCCCAGTAAGGACTTCCAGGGACAGAGAGCCCCCACTCTCAGGCTACTCGGCGTCATCTCCTCCACTGTTCTGCCCATCAGTCCACTTGCACCACTACACCAGCTGAATTCTTGGTAATAACAAGTTGCTTGCTTGTCTGAAGTCTACACTCTATATAGGTTTACTGGCTTACATGTATGTGTAATTGCCTATCATGTGTTAAGAAAACAACATTAATTTTCAGAGTAATTTGAATCTGCTTAGCCAGTCAGACTAAAGCCTGCTGGGACACAGGCTGCCAAAACAGAGTGTAAAATCCATTGGCAAATAATCTTCTCTCTTTGTTTCTGAGTTGGAGAAGCAAAGAGACATCTCCCACACCAGGGTTCAGACAGTGCCCCCAGCTCTGTCTAGACTAAAAGATGACAAAAGAATTCCTGCCCAGCTCCAAAATGTCAGAAAGAAGAGAAGGCGGCTAAAATCCAAGGGAAATGTCATTGCCAGGGAAGAAACTCGCCAGGAATCTTCACTATTCGGTCTTGTGAGAGCTAAGCTGGAGGGCCTGCACACAGACAGCCAGCGCCGTCCGAGATGCTCTATGGTGTCAGGAGCATCCCTGTGGGACTGGGAGATGGGACACTAGACCAAAGGGGAACTGACACCCACTACAGCAGCAGGAGGAGGCATACAAGGCAATGCACATGCTCAGGTGCATGAATTAAGCCCCCAAATTCACAAGGTAGAGAGGAAAACCTGGACACCATGAGGAAGAAGCATGAACTGACACCTGGCACTCTGCATTCGATGTTATACTGCTTAGAAAAGATTCCTACAGCAGTGAGCGCAATGTAGTTTGTAAGTGACAGTAAGAGTCATCAGACATCGAAACTGCCTCATCTAGAGCTACATTCCTCCTGACCAACATGCCACCTTCGAACAAAGTACAAATCTGTTTGTTAGCAAGAAAGAGACTAAGTCCATCCAACCATTACTTTACTAATTAAACAGTAAAAATGTTCCATTTGTTAAAGAAATGTTTCAGATTACAGTGGGCCCAAATACAAATGCCACGGACTTATCCAGGCATAATCTTAGCAGGGATCGGACGTACCCTGAAGCAAAGTAAGCCCATCCTGCCGGAGATGAAACAGAGCCAGGAGGAACATTCACACAGAGTCAAGTCTTTGCCTCAACTAAGATTTAAAAACGCCTCGTGAAACATTGTGTTGTAGAAATTGGATTAGAAAGCTAAAAAAATATTGTCAGAAAGAATTAGCCGACACATTATAATTATGGTTAGCAGAACACAGTTTTTATGACAACAAGGTAGAGCTAAATCTGAGGCTCCCCAACTTTATTTTGTCCCACTCAAAAGGCACTAATGAGTACTTTGGTCTATCCTTCTACACTGATCTTTTAGACGCATTAATTAACAGCTTTCAACAACATTTCTTAATCTTGATCTTGGGAGATGGTGTGGAGGTAGCCTAGGAGCAACTAAAGCATCAGTCCAGGGAGTAGCTGCCAGCACAGCTCTGGTGCTGGAGAGGTGGGGGAAGAGGCGGCAGGAAAATTACTTTAGTTTCAGCACATAAAATGCTAATCCAGTTTCCTTACACTACAGGAGTAGCAGGGAGGCTATGCAGACCTACAGATGCAGCAGAAGTCATATAGATCAATCTCTGCTGCCAGGCTATGATTTGGCAGGTTTTTTGGTGTAGATGAAAGGAAATACACAAAATACCTGGCAAAGCCTGTCACATGCCACGTTGTCTGCCGTTATGAGAGTTTTCACATTCATTTGCTCCTGTGTGCTGACTTTTTACTTGCTGCAGTCAGTAATCACAGCCACCTGGCAGCCATACATGACTGATTGCAAGGACAGGACCTTAGCCCATCAATTTAAAATGTGCAGTGAAGACCCAGGACAGCTACCTTGCCTGCAGGCCTTCAGCAGACCACAGGGGAGGCTCTCTCGAAGCAGGCAAAGATTCCTGGGAAGCCCTATCTCTACCCAGACATTTCTAAGTGCCGGGAGGAAAGCTAGCTTTGCAACTCCCACACCTGGCTACTCAACGCAGCATCTAAATGTGCTGTTTAAGCACTGATTTTAGAGTCAAGAAACAGCTATGCAATTAAGAAATCCTTTTTAGGAAACCAAGAGAGCTTTTATATATGTCTGTGTACCTCGCGTATGCTTACGTATCCCTCAGTTAGTTTAACACCTAGGAAATCTCTCTAATCCAGTGTTATTTTTTCATAACTGTAAAATTTAGTAATTAGACCCCCCCAGCTCTTCCCTGAAGTGCTGAGCTCACCTGCCGTGGCTGGTTAACCTTTGCTCCTGAAGAAAGCAGCAGTCGGATGACATCCAGATAGCCTCCTTGTGCTGCCAGGAAAATTGCAGAAGCTCCATCCTAAGAACAAATACATCCAGCTTAACCAGTGCTGAAATGATGCCGTTTTTTCCATACAAAACCAAACTGAATCAAGTTCTTCCGAAGCCATTATGCAGTGTAAAAGCATATATATAGCCAAGCTCAAGAAATAATTACCAAAATCCAAAGTCTAGTTCATAACAAACTATGCTAACACATTTTTCATCCAGCATGCACAAGTACTGGCTCCCATCATATACCAAACTGAGCATTAAATCTCAGGTCTTGAATCCCAAGAGTCTAGTTCATCAAAGCATTGAACCACATAACAAGAAATCTATTCCTATATAGCAAAATATATTTATTTAGGTTCATTTAGCTTTTATATGTTCATGCAGAAGTGTTCTGCTACATAGACACACAAGGTGAAAACATGTTCAAGTACTTTGCAGAACTGAAGGCTCCAGCATTGAAGTCTGCCCTTTAGGCTGAAGGAGTAAGTACTGTGCCACCCCAGCAACTACCGTGGCACTGCCTTTGCACATCTTGCAGAAAAGACTCGACCTGTAATATAATCATGTGAAGCAGCACATGCAAGACAGAGTATCTCATAGTCCCATCAGAAACCAGCATTTTCCTGCAAAAAACTTTTGAAAGAAAGGAACAAATATGAGATTTTCTTTTTCCTCAGCATGTCTCTCCTGTGCAGATGTTCTTCAGTGTTTGGCTTTACAGAAGCTTTTCCATAGGAAAAAAATTTTGAAGTCATATTTCATTAAATTATTTTTGATGAAAAATTTTCAAACATCATTTGAATTCATCTAACCAACTGGACATGGAAATCTGCACTGAGGGTGAGAAAGGTGTTTACCCATCCTATATCCACCGAGCTCAGCACAGAGCATGCTAGGGCAAGTTTTCCCAAGAGGTAAAACTCTCTTAGTTTAAATAGAGACATGAATGAACCCCCTCGCTGCATCTCAGATGTACAAGTACACATCTTCTAACCAATTTATGCATATGCTTATCACAAAATACAGGGCATTTTAGCAGAAGCCTGTTGTTGACCTTGTTGGCGTATCACTACGTTGGGACAGAATGCTGTTGTCTGCAAAGAGATACTGCTTAGCTACTCCTCTTCATGCAAAACTCAGCACAGGCCTAGTGAAGCATGAGCTGAATATAGTGCCCCAGGGACTGAATTTAAAATGTTTGACCTTGATTTCAAGACTACTGCCCTGGTAAACAAGAGAGGTGTCTGCTGGCACTACAAATGCATACCCCTGGGCACTCTGGGGGGCTGTTTTCTCTGGTTGCTATGTGAGTACATGAAATAGGGTGATGGTATCAGGTCCTTTGCAGGCTTCCTCCAGAGACAGGTATAGCAAGAACACTTACATTTAGAAAGTAAACAAGGTTGTGTAGTAATAAAAGAGCTCTTTATTATAGCGTCAATCAAGACGAAGAATCTTGGTTTCCCTGTCATCCAACCATTTAAAAAATTTTTAGTTTTTTTGTACTTGATTTGGATTGATGCTGTAATGAGAAAACTGTTTTAAGGCTATAAAATATTTCTGCAAGAAATACTGTTTAGTCAGGCTGTTCTCTCGTCTCCTCCTCTACCCCTCAAGTGAGTCAATTTAAGATTAAAACATCTCTTGATGGCTTTGGGAGGATGACCTAAACGCATGCTCAAAATCCCTCAAAATTTGGCCACCTGCCAGTGAAACCGCCAGCCAGATACCACTTTGCAGATGCAGCTGGGCGATGTCCCACAAAAGGGGCCAGCCTAATGCTCTTTTTCAAAAGATTGTGTTCTTATTTTGTTAAGCAGCTGTTTCTGACTGGTTTTGCCCAATGGCTGTGAGCAATAAAAATACATTTCTAATTCCAATTGCAAATATTGCTCATTTCCAGGAGAGACAACAAGGAAGTTATCTGACTGCCTTCACTTCTAGGTAAGTGTCTGCAGGTGTGGCAGCAAGGCTATTTTTAAACCGAGTGGTAAACCCTGGGATTACCGTGCAGAAGTATGAATCACTGCCCTCAGATTAGAAAGGCAATTGCTATTTGCGCAGCGGCGAGGGTGGGACACCTTTCTCAAACATCGTTTAAACATAAATGTGAGGTGAGGGCAGCACAGGGGTTGAGACCCCCTGTGAGACCAACGCACAGCCCCTAGCACACTGGTGACTTCTGTGGTCACCAGCCCTCGGTTCCTCCCCATGCTCACAGGAGCTGAGTGTGACTGCATCTTGCAGGTCCAAACTCCATAGAAATGGCTGAAAAAAATCGTATATCCCTGGGGAGCAACTTCCTTTTTGTCAGTGTTCAGTGCCTTGGGGTAGG